AAAAAAATCCGTAGAATAATAAACTCAAAAAGGGTTGATGAAAGTGCAACGTATAATAAACCCTTTTTACCGTATGTAAAATTTTCCTAAACCCTTTTAAAGGATTTAATAAAGGGTTTAGGAAATCCATAAACCCTTTCAAAGGGTTTAGGAAGTTCATAAACGCTTTAAGGGTTTATTATACGTTGCATTTTCAACCACCCTTTTAAGGGTTTAGGAAAATCATAAACCCTTCGATATACCCTTGGTAAGGGTATATGAAGGCATTTAGGAAATCAATAAACCCTTACATAAACCCTCAAAATGGTTTATGACGCTCACCAAGTACGGATGGGGCTGAGCAAATGGTTTAGGAAACGCTGATAAACCCATATAGGGGTTTAGGACACATTCATAAACCCATATAAGGGTTTAGAAAACACTCATAAAATAATATAAGGGTTTAGAAAACACTCGTAAACCCATATAAGGGTTTAGGAAACACACATAAACCGACCCAAGCGTTTCGCAAAGGGTTTAGAAAATGCTCATATACCAATACAAGGGTTTTGGAAAGAGTGTATAAAACACACTCACACTCGAGACTAATTTCGAGACACCATTTCAACCTGTTACTCTTTTCCCTAGCATAACAACAAAGAATTTTAGGAAACAGCGATACCAAAGTTCACAACTGTACATGTTCTTCTAAGCAAAAAACAAATTGTAAGTAGTTCGAATGACACTGTACAATAAAGTTTAGACTGTCAAATGAGATATTTTTTTTCTTTATTTGGCAATCTAAAATATATTGTGGAGTATCATTCGAACTACTTACAATTTGTTTTTTTGCTTAGAAGAATATGTACAGTTGTGAACTTTGGTATCGCTGTTTCCTAAAATTCTTTGTTGTTATGCGAGAGGAAAGGGTAACAGGTTGAAATGGTGTGCCTCCAGATTAGTCTCCAGCGTTACTAATAATTGTGTTTCTCGCGATGGACCTAAAGAAAAAAAATAAATTTATATAAATAATACTTGAATTTCTTTATAAACTTAATATTGTACTAAATAAAGAAAAACAAATATATACATATAAATAAATACTTACTTTATATTTCTTTGTTCTAACTGATCTAAATAGAAAAAGATAATAATACATATAAATAATACTTACATATTATTTTGAACTCCATACTAACCTAAAGAAAAAAAGAAACATATAAAAATATAATACTTATTTTTGTTTCAGTTGTTGTTGCGATTGGTCTAAATACAAAAGAAGATCTTTTTTGTAAATAATACTTACATATATTTTGAATTTCATATTGAACTGAATAGAATTGAAAAAGCTTGTTAGCGCAGCTCCTGCGGAGCTGAAATGTGGAACTCACATATATCCTTAAATCTTAATATTCTAATACATCGTATGTAAACTGAAAAATTCCGTGTACACTGTAGTTGTTTTCATTGATAGTCAATGACAAGAGCGACACTTTGTTATTTATTTCTTCATTTAAAACAGAAAATTTTTTTTTGTTTCAGAGCGCCCTATTTTTATTTTGCATTGTTGCTATTCGCTCATTATCTTTTATTCTTTTTAATTCATTTTTCGTAATTCAACATTTTTATTATTATAATCATTAAATTAATCAGCAAACAAATCTGTTTCACATATCCATGATATATACAGAAGATCTTATGCACTATTATATATATTAATCAGCTCACAAACACTGATGTTGATTATCTTTCAAAATTATAACTTGATCAATTTTTCAAAAAAAATTGAAAGTCTGACGCTTGTTATCCTTAATTACTAAGGTCTGTAATGGAGGGGGGGGGGGGGGGGGTGTCTGCGATGTTCTCTTTCTCCGTTTCTATGGTCTGTAATGGGGGGATGTCTGTAATATTCTCTTTCTCTGTTGCTATGGTCTGTAATGGGGGCCTGTCTGTAAGGGGGGGGGGGGGGGGGAGCCGCCAAACCTCACACTTAAAACTTACACTCACTATTTTCTTCGAAAACATATGTGAGTTCCACAAAAGATATATAAGTAAATAATACTTATTTTTGATTGTGTTGTTGGGATTGATCTAAATAGAAAAAAAAGATTTATATAAATAATACTTACATATTGTTTTGAACTCCATATTAACCTAAATCAAAAAAAACATATGTAAGTAAACAATACTTACTTTTGATTTCTTATTTGTAATTGATTTAAGCAGAAAAACATAGTTATTAATGCAGATAATATTTGCATTTTATTTTGAACGTAATATTAAACTAAATAAAACAGAAAGAACAATATATGAGTGTATAATACTTACTTTTGACTTCGTTGTTACAATTGATCTAAACGAAAAAAAAAACGACTTATATAAATAATAGTTATATTTTATTTTGAACTTCATTTTGAACTAGAAAAATATAAGTACATGTAACTTGTGTGTAAATGTTACTTATATTTCATTTCATTGTCAAGATTAACTTAGCCAAGAAAGACAAGTTTATAAAAACAATACTTAACTTCATTATACTGTTATTATGTATATAAAAACTATGTTTTATCTTGTTTTCGAAGTTCACCTGAGTACAAAAAGAAAAACTATTAATGTAAACAATACTTACAATCCATCTTGTTGTGGAAAGTAGTTTAAATAAAAAAATTTTAAAAAGTATTTGAATGATCGTACTTATATTTCATTTTGGTGTCGAAATTGATCTACAGTATGACAAAAAATTATTCAGATACCCCACTACATCTATCTTGTGGAGCAAATTTCTCAATGTAGAAAACATTTTTTTGACTCTGATTACATCATTCGATACGTCATCTTCTCTACTTTCTTTTGCATAGAAATTTTCCTTTTCTCAGGGTATTTTTCACAAAATTCTAGAAAGTTTTCTCAAAAGGCGTCAATATTACAAGTAAAGGAAGTTATTCGGACACTTGCATTTTTTTCTTTATTACCGGTCTATTTTGTATCGAAACATTTTGAATTGCATATCATTTGATAGAGAAACCATTTCTTTACAGTGATATGTATAAAAATTGAAAAAGATGCTAAGAACGTACCGAAAGATCCTCAATGCCGGAAGCACCATGGGTTTTGGAGAATGCTCTCGTTTACCGGCTTCAAAAAAATGAAAACTAAACTCAAAATATATCATCTGAAAGAGAAAAAAATGCGGAATCCAACCACATCTTCGGTTTTACGAAATCCGTAAATATTATTTGTAAGAGCCAGTAATTAAAACTAATATTCATTATAGCTTGTTCAATATTCTCAAGTTTTGAGCAACTCAATCGCACTAAAAAATCTTTTGAAATATACAGGCTTATAGAAAATTAAATTCTCTACAAGATAATATGCTTGGATGTACATTAGCTATCTTCCTTAGACACGATTAGTACCTATTTATTCACGTACATTGTATTGCGAGAATAAAACCAATATTTTCTCCTTTCTGTTGCTTTTTCTATATAACATATGCGATGACGTCGATGAAAGAGCTCAAGAAAGTGCATTTGAACAGATAGGTGTTAATTGTGTCTAAGGAAAATAGCTACTGTGCATTCAGGTGCATCATCTTGTAGAGAACTTAATTCTCTACAAGTCTGGACCATTGAAAAACTTTCTAAATAAAATTTAGTTACCTGAAAATTGAGAATATTAGGCGCGGTGTATCAAATATTAATCATAATCACCGATTATGACAAGTAACATTTAAAAATGTCAAAAAAAAGATGTGGTTGCATTCAGCGTGTTCTGCCCTTTCAAATCATATATTTTGACTTCTGTTTCCATTTTCCTGAAGCTGAAAACCCAAGGTTTTCTGTAAAATCTATGGTGCTTCGGTAGTGTCAAACTTGAAACTTGAATTCAATTGAGTTTTCAACTTTCAAGTTTCAACTTTCAACTTTCCACTTTCAATGAAAATATAAACATTTTGGAGATATTGATTCACTAGTGCAGATAATCTTTATATAGTGATTGACTTTGAATGCTGATCCATTCAGATATATATTCATTTAACTTATCAACCCTTGCTCGACAAAATGCAAAAAACAAATAACTGTTTACTATGTCTCCTACATGTCTGGAAAGGACTGGCTGCAAAAGGACTGATCGCGACGGGACTGATGGAGAAATGAGTGGCCACACTACGACATACATCAGGTCGCAGCTGCGACATGATGTATGTCGTAGTGTGGTCAGTCCTTTCGCGGCACCCACAGCAGCTGCGATGTGATGTATGTCGTAGCGTGGCCAGTCCTTTCGCGGCACCCACAGCAGCTGCGACGTGATGTATGTCGTAGTACGGTCAGTCCTGTCGCGGCACCCACAGCAACTACGACGTGATGTATGTCGTAGTGTGGCCAGTCCTTTCGCGGCACCCACAGCAGCTGCGACATGATGTATGTCGTAGTGTGGTCAGTCCTTTCGCGGCACCCACAGCAGCTGCGACGTGTTGTATGTCGTGGCGTAGCCAGTCCTTTCGCGGCACCCACAGCAGCTGCGACATGATGTATGTCGTAGTGTGGCCACTCATTTCTCCATCAGTCCCGTCGCGATCAGTCTTTTTGCAGCCAGTCCTTTCCAGACATGTAGGAGACATAGTAAACAGTTATTTGTTTTTTGAATTTTGTCGAGCAAGGGTTGATAAGTTGAATGAATATATATCTGAATGGATTAGCATTCAAAGTCAATCACTATATAACGATTATCTGCACTAGTGAATCAATATCTCCAAAATGTTTATATTTTCAGTGAAAGTGGAAACTTGAAAGTTGAAACTTGAAAGCTGAAACTTGAAAGTTGAAACTTGAAAGTTGAATTGAATTCAAGTTTCAAGTTTTACATATATGTGGTGCTTCTGGTATTCAAGAATTTTCGCCATCGTCTTGACTTCTATTTCAACTTTTGATCATACCGACGTCTAGAGAAATGTTTTCTCTATCAAGTGATACATAATTCAAAATGTTTCAATACAAAATAGAGCTGTAATAAAGAAAAAAATGCAAGTGTCCAAAGTAATTCTTTGCTGTTGGGCGCGATCATTTCTTCGAGAACCCTGTAAAACTTTTCGAAGACCATATAGAGAAAAAACTATTTCGATACGGAAGTAAAGACGATAACCTATCCAATGATGTAATCAGAGTCAAAAAAATATGTTTTTTTCATTGAAAGATTTGCTCCACAAGATAGATGTAAACGACCGTCCGAATAATTTTCGTACGTGGGCGGGCGTGAGGTGGGTTTGGGTGTAAGTGTTAGAGAGTGTGGGTGTGAGTGAGTGTTAATTTTCTTTTCATCACCCACACTCAGCCCTACGCCCATCCACACCCACACTCAGCCCTAC